CGTCTTCCATTCTATGAAATAAATGCAAGAAACCGCCTACCCAGCTATCAGAACTACTAAAGTCGGTGATTTGGCCACTTTTACATTTACACTCGACTGAAAAAAATTAAAATTTAAAAACCGTCTAAAAACCACTGTAGGCATTGCAGCCACCAAAGCAACATATCCTCTCTTCATTATTCACATTCCCACACCTCTCCTGTATCACCCACTGTTTAGAATTCATCACAAAAAAATCAAAAGTTTTACCCTATTTTTCAGATCATAAAATATAACCAAGATTAGTTACTGTTTAGGGCAGGGGTTCCCAACCTGGGTTGCAAGATGGCATTGCAAGGGGTGCAACAAAGAGTCCTAATGAAAAGTATAATTCTGCTTATATTACCATAAACTTTTCTAATTGCTCAATTTATATTTGCATTTTATGCAATTGTGATATTACATTTGTAGGGGTGCAACATTAATCGAACATTTCCTAGGGGTGCGGGGCATGGAAAAGGTTGGGAACCCATGGTTTAGGCATCCCAATAATTGAGGCAAACCTAGTAAAAAATCTTAAAACAGACCAGGAGGGGAGGATGATGTGGGGGGCCTTACCTGTCCTCAGGAAAACCATCAAATATTTTAACTACTTTGAGCTCAGTTTCAGGCTACAGTACTTTCTCTCATGAAACCAACCAAAATCATCTCTTATTTTAGTAGTATATCTAACTTTCTACCAACTGATACTAAGAAACAACCAGTAAAATTATCCAAGCACACAGCATCAAATCACTATTTTAAACCAAACAAGGTCAGAGCTTTGTTTACCCATCATGCACTGCATGGGACAGGATCTTTTTTTATACCGTGCACACTTGCTGCACAGACCCATTCTCTCATGTGAAGGCCACAGTTTACTGCTCCCATTACATCAGAGGACAATGTGCTTCAAATGTAGATCTATGTGCTCCTCTCTCCTGTGAGGGTTATTTGTGTAATTTATTTATTTATTTATTTAGAAATTTAGCATTCATACAGAGGTACAAAAAAATACAGGAAAGAGCAGCATGCATGTAGATCAAAGTAAGGACCTAAGTGTTAATCTGGCCCTGCCATAAGGGGGATCATAAGTTTTTGCGATTTGTGTGATAATCAGGTTCAAGTCAAGGAAAAGGAGTGGAATGGCCCAATTCCTTGACTCAGGTAATGTGAATTAATCAGAGACAACAAAGATGAAAGGATGAAAAGGAGTACAATTCAGAACTTAAAATATTGTAAGACCGAATGTCAAAATAGAAAAGAATACATTATACATTATTGTAAGAACGAATGTCAATATGAAATAATACATTAATGTACACTTGTAATATTCACATTGGGGTCTCCATTTGAATACATATTTACTGTGTTTTCTTCACACAAGAAAATAAATTATAAAAGAAATTTTCTATAATGTGGCAGAAGTTGTGGCTATAGGAGGGTGGTCAGGAAGGACAAGGATGTTGGTTGGAAATGGATGAAGTAAAGGGTGTGGATAAAAGAGAAAAAGGTAGCTTTATGAGAGGTTTTTACAAAGCATAAGTGTTGTAAGAAGAGCAGGTATGTGGAGAGTAAAAGAAAAAGTGAAGAGAGTGTGAGAGAGTGTGCAAAAAGGAGAGCAGAGGAAAGAGGTGAGAGGCAACTGGGGCAAGAAATTTTGCTGAATTTAAGAAAAAAATTTGGAGTGATGTAAACATGTTAAGAAGCGCTTAGGAAACAGATGGATGTTGTCAGTTAAAAGAACAGAGTAGGGGAGTTAGTAGCTGGGAGCTGAGGTATAGGGTAGATGGCGGGAATATTTTGAGACTTTTAAGTTCGATGATAGAGGGAGGGGGCTGTAATTTCATGCACTGGTCAGGGAGGGATAACTTCAGATAGGAGTGAAGAAGAGCAGGATGTGAATGTGGGGTAAGGGTGTGAGGCATTACGAGTAGAATGAAAGGGGGTAAAGCAGCAGGCACAGATGGATCTGACACAAATGTTATAAGCTGGTATACCGTGTTCGAGTGTTGGTAATTATTTTGTTTAATAAAATGTATGAAAGAGGGGAAGAATACCTAGGTATTGGCAGAGAGGCGTTGCATAGTTTCCTTTATATATAAAAGGAAGGGGACAAACAGAGATTTGCAAAAATTATAGGGAATAAGTTTACTGAGTATACGCAGGTTTGAAAGTGTATTAAAGGGTTATTATTGAACGAATAGAGGTAAGGAGAGAGAGTAGGACTGCAGATGAGCAAGGAGTGCTTTTAGAGAGGTTAAGGGTGTGTAGATCTAAGTGTTTACATGAAGTATATATTGACCAGCGATAAGATAAAGGTAGGGAATTTATCATTGCATTTAAAGGTTTAGAAAAGGCATATTATCAGAGTGGATCGGGAGCAATGTGGCAGATGTATGGAATAGTGTAAGGAAATAGGTAGTAAGTTTACTAAATCTGTAAAGAGTTTTTTATGAGGATATTGAGGCTCAGGTTAGGGTGTGTAGGAGAGATGGGAGATACGTCCCGTAAAAGAAGGTCCTTAGTATGTGTAATGTCACCATGGTTGTTAATATATTTATAGATGGGGTTGTAAAAGAAGTAAATGTTTTGGGTGTTGGGAGAGGAGTTGGTATCAAGTTAGGGGAATCAATACAAAATGGAGTTTACTACGTTACTTTTTGCTGATGATACTGTGCTTAAGGGAGATTCTAAAGAAAAATTTTGCAGAGGTTAGTAGACGAGTTTGGGAGGAGTGTGAAGGTAGAAGTTGAAAGAGAACATAGGAAAGAGTAAGGGAAGAGGTATCAAAATGATTAAGATAAAGAAAAACTGGATATCAAAATATTGAGAGAGGGAGTATTGAAAAAGAACAATTTTTTTCAGATACATGAACCCCAAAAACGCACTCTCCCAACACAACCAATTAGGTAAGAGTATATTTGTAAGTGCTTTATAAGTGTATTTATTTGAGGGTCTGAAATGGACTAATCTAATTTACTTATTTCCTGATGGAATAAATCTGACCGGAAAACAGGCACTCGAACAGCCTTCTGCACTGAAGAAAGTTCCGATATTTGAGGTTCCACGTATTTGGAGTTGAACTGTCAGCAGATGGTTTTTATGAAGGGTGAAGGTAACATAGAATTGATTGAAGGAAAAAGGTGAGTGGGCAATGCGGTATCTGTGGGAACAAAAACGCGTCGAACTTTGGAGCAAAGAAGGGAAAGTATGAAGTATAGTGTACCAACAACTGATATGGTGTGAAGGTTGGGATTGAAAATGCAGGCAGCAAGGAGGCGGCTGGAGGCATTGGAGAATTCCTGTTTAAGGGCTGTAGACAGCCTGTACTGTCTGCACAGACAGCCCATGCTGTCTGCCAGCTTAGTTCATATTTCGCGCCACTCAAGTGCTGCCACCTATAGGCCTTGCCACTTCAGTATGCCCAGACTTGCCTCACCCTGACTCACACAGCGGCCTAGCAGGAAGACACAAGTCCTCCCAGCTCTCTCTCGGGGGCATGGCCCTGCCCGGGCCATGGCCTCAAACACACAAGCCTGTGTAACCCACCACGACTTAACAATAAAGTAAGAAGCCTCCGAAGAAGTATATCATTTAACCACCGCGTACAGCACCTACCAAAACAAGCTGTTATAGGGCAATGTGTGGTGTAAATATTATGCAGAGAATTCGGAGTGTGGAAATTAGGAGGAGGTGTGAAGTTAATAAAAGTATTAGTCAGAGGGCTGAAGAGGGGTTGTTGTAGGGTAAGGAAGGAGGGGTAGGGGTCATCCTCGAAAAGGTTGGAGGGAGGGAAAGGAGGTTTGTGGGCGAAGCCTCTACAGGGGGCTCCTTGGTGTGGTGAAGAGGCTCTTGGTCTGAGGAAGTAGACCTGTCGGTCTACTTCCTCAGACCGAACCTAATTATCCCCCGTTCCCTATCCGCATCCTCCCTTATCCTTTCCCTCCTCCTCCCCAACCCCTCACCTTTTCCCTTCCTTTATTTTTTTTTTTTTTTTTTTTCCTCCCACATGCACGCAAGTTCCTAGGTAGGGAAAGGGTACCGGGTCCAACCCATTCCGTTGAGGTTCTTTGGTAGTGCGTAGATTGCCGTGGAATCATTGGATTGCCTGGGGAGGTCCCTGATCCCTCTCCGTTATCCGAGGGGCTTTGGGTGCCCTCGGCGAACGGTGTATCTCTTCTCTAGAAGCCACCTTTCGATTCCAGGGGTGGAGGCCGAAGGAGGTATGGCTTGTGGTGGATTTCCTGCCGCCCTCTCTTTTGTCTCACCGAGGTAGCTCGGCAGATGTGAAGGTTGCTATCCCAGATTGCCGTTTAACCTGCATGATGGGTAGGGTATGGCACTGTTCCAGCCAAGCTGCAGTCTCCGCTACTTGCTGGAGGGAGGAGATTTTCTGGCCCTTTCATTCCTCCTAGGAACTCTCCCCCTCCCTGGTCCCTCCCTTTAATTATTCTTTTTTATTATTTTAGATTCTTTTCTTCTTTTTTTTTTTTTTTCTTAAAAACAAAAGAAAGAAGTAACCTAACCTGGCAGCCTCAACTCCCTGAATCAGCTACCAACCACCCGGCCCCTCTTATGCCGGCACCCCGTTCAGACCCTCTGCCTCGTCTTTGGACCACTCTTCGGACACTCCCCATTGCCTCTGTACCTCTCGGCCGAGTGCTGTTTCCTCCACACCCTACAGGTACTGAGTCCGTCGACTGACCTCTTCGATTTACTGAACTTCGCTCCCTCTGAGACTATGCATCTCCGGCCTCATTCCCTCTACGGGTGCGGCAATTTCGGAAACGCCGACCCTTCCACACCACCACGTCGGACCAACTCTGGTCCCACGCCTAAAATACCAACGACAATAACCTGCTGATGATACCACTCCACCTTCTCGTTCTTTCTCAAAAAGATCAACAGTCCTTCAGACCAACGGGGGGCAAGAGGGTAGGGGGTATTGGCAGCACTTGGCACCGGGGAGGCTGCAGGTGTTCTTAGTGCCAACTCTGCCTCAGCCAGCGACACCACGGAGCGGAGCAACTATCTCGCCCCTCACTAATCACCCACGATGTCTTTCACGTTCAAGTATACGTCAGTATTAATTAAAGTGGACTTCATCGCCGAGAGAGGTCACTGAAGGGGCCGTCGACGTATGTTAAAGGTGAACCTAACACGCTGGATACACCATCAGAGGGACGTCGTTGTTTAAAGGGAAGGTTCACGATGAAGAACATCGAAATATTCTGAAGCCATCGATGTATGCAAAAACGAGTGGCAGTAGTGAAAGGGACTTATTCAAAGTTAGGACTACCATCTGTATAACTAAAAGTTGAGAAAAATGCAAACTAGAAAACTATATAGTTGCAGATATATGAAAGTGTTTATATAACAAAGTGTGAGCTGATACGGCAAATTACGACGAGTGACTGCAACTGGAAATCTGTACAGTAAAGTTAGTTGCCATCAGTTAACTGTTATTAAGTGTTGGGAAGAATTAATATACGTGTTTCCATACCAATGTATACTTTTTTTTCTGTTACAAATATGATAACTTTAGATAAACTCCATACTACAGTGCATTGTCTTTGCCAACAATGCACCTCCCACACACAGTCTTAAATTGCTTCACATTAAAGTCATGAGCCTGTAGTACATCTTGATAATTATTCAAACAGCATTAATTTACCTTAATTTCTCATTTTGTTTACATTTGATGGAATTTTCGAGTCCTTTTCCTCACTACACGCCGAAAGTCCATAGTATAAAATTTAATTAAGTGCTGAGTTTTATTTTAGTAGTAATCCCTCCCCTCCACACACTACAAACACCAGTTTGAGCATCATAAAAATAATCACTTCTAGAGCATAAGTACCAGTTCCGTCACCATAAAACCAACCATCAGTAAATAACACAGCCACAACATCCCAGGCCACCTGCCGAGGGAGGAGGTAGCCCCCACAGTGACCAATGAAGGTGAGTGTGGGGCGTGGGCCAAGCACCCCCAAGGGGAAGGCCGCCCCCGCTCACAGCCACGTGCTGGACCCACACTCCTGCCCCATCACCACCACCAACACCACCAGGTAGCCGTCTTTCTCTGCTCTTGCTAGTACTGGCACCTTTCTCTTCTGCTACTCCGACTGTTGCTGTTGACCTCCATTGCTGCCAGCCACTTCACAGCTAAACAAGTAGGCAGGCTTTTTTTTCGTATATCCAAGTTGTTAAGTAGACTAACGGATTTTTTCTCTTATTACATTAATGTTTTTGCATGATCTGGGACTCTGAACATAACAAAGAAGTACTTCCCTTTTTTTTTGTTTTTGCACCCGATATTCTTAGCATACATTACTAAAACTGTATATCAATAACGAAAATTTGTACATGTGGGTTTTGGATCACTTTTTTGCAGCGAAATTACAAAATACGTGTTTGTTAGCCTTCTTTCTCAAGATTATTTGATCCGTCTTCATGTTCTCTTAGTTTCTTCCACGTCACCTTGATGGACATGAGCTGTACATCATGTAAACAACGTGTCTCAACACGGATTCATAAGGAAACGTTCTAACAAACTTAATACTTTATTAACGTATTTTAGGCAAGAGTATCATGAAAAAACGTACGATATTTTATGTTTGGAGTCATATTGTAAAATTTCTTTAAAGGATTAAGGTATGATTAACTAATAAGCAATAAATTTTTCATAAATAGGGGAAAATTTGAATGGAAACCAATGACAAGTGGCGTTCCACAGGAACCAGATTTGGTCCCCGTATTCTACAGTAATGACAAGGGAATAAAAACGATAGAGTAAATCTCACTCTCAACAAACATTGAACCGGTCAAGAACAGTTTTAGTCCGTGTTTGAAAACCTACGTTTCTTAATTTTGGGACGCTGAATTCAAATCTTAGTTTTACTCCACCACATAGTTTTTTTTTTTTTTTTGTGAAAAAGAGCCCAACGGTGACAGATTTCACCAAGAAATAACCATCATGGAGAAGAGATATCAGGAAAACCTGACGATCAGTAATGGCTCTCCCACTGCTGTGGGAGAACCATTACTGAACATAAGTGTATGGAAATTTGTTATATATATAGCGAGGTACTACCTCTGGAACTGTGCTGGGGACCTTCATCCTCAGAGAAAAGAATAAAACTACTTCAGGGAAAACTCAAGGTTCTTCCGGGAGCTGTTAGAATATTATCTTCTCCTATCACCCCCTATATTCCATATTCTGTGTAGACTTTATATAAAGACAAATCACACTGACAAACACAATATGGAGTAGAACAACATAGATAACATCTCAAAGCCTACATCTCGAATATTTGGTCCAGCTCCCCGGCGGTGGGCTGTGTGACCAGAATGCTGCAGGCATTTCCCCTCTGGATCGCGACACTGAGTCTCTAAAAGAGGAAGCTGGCCGCTCTGTGATCCTTGGTTTCTGTGATGAGTTTTTCACCAAGCTCTTTGAGGAACTTTAGAGCACACTTACCCCATGCTCCAAGGGTCTCTGACCCCAATGGGATGAAGTTATAGCAAGGGGGAAGGCCTTCATATTTGCGGGTCTTCTGGGTCTCCCTGTAGATGACGGCTCCACTTCCTTCAACTTCAGTAGGTGTCCGCCAATGTGGCGGCACAGGTGTAGTCCCAGGCAATCTGCTTATCATCCTTCCAGGGTAGCAAAGTGGCTCCTTCAGGACGCTTTTGACTTCCGTCAGACCTCTGTACTTGGGGTTCCCAGAGAGCTGAGCAACGGTCTGTGGCGAGGCTTCTCTTCATGATGTCGTTGACCCCCTCATGTCTAGCATACTTTCCTTCTGATGTGTGACACACGATACCATGAAGTCCGAATTGATCAGCCGTCGCCCTGCCGCAAATACACCTATGTTCTGTGAGTATGGGGGCGGCTAGCCGAAGAGCAACACCAATCCGAATGGCCTGTTGGTCGAATCGAGTGCCCAGGAAGGAACTGGGAACAGCTAAAAGGAAATCTCCTGAGTGTGGTGCCTTCACCGCTAGGAGACGAGTTTTGTCCTTTCCTGAAGCGTTGGTGAGCATTGTGTTGGTGATTTTTTCCATGATCGGTTTGTCCCAATTCATATTCAAATTTTATTCAAAGTTTATTCTCTATAAAGATTACAATGTTAAATTTACAGAATTTGGTTGTTGTGTGGTTTACATGTAGTTAAATAATGATTACAGAGTGTACCACTAGAATGCCTAGCATGGCTAGGCATTTCGGGCAGACTTAGTTTAATTCTTTATTTTAAAATATTACAAATTATGAGGTAAGTTGGTATTATGGCTAAGTGACTAAATACTAGTTTGTGAGTTTAGCAATGTGAATGCTTTTGTTTTTTCACAGTACATAGTTTCAGTATTGGAGTATCATAGGATTCATTATTTTAAGATTGAGATTAATATTTCTGTTATGGTCAAATGGGTGAGTGAGTGTAAGTGTGAACCACCAGGTGGTATTCGTGTAGTTAGTTGACGGGGTGTATCAGGGAGATAAGATGTTTTCTAATGGTAGTTTTGAAGGTGATGAATGTGTCTGCAGTTCTAGAGTTCTCAGGTAGGGTGTTCCAGATTTTAGGGCCTTTGACATACATTGAATTTTTGTAAAGGTTTAGTCGGACACGGGGAATGTCGTAGAGATGTTTGTGTCTGGTGTTATGCCTGTGGGTTCTGTTACAACTATCAAGAAAGCGTTTTAGGTCAAGGTTGATATTGGAGTTTAAGGTCCTGTAGATGTAGACTGCACAGTAGTAAGTGTGGATGTACTGAACAGGGAGTAAGTTTAGATCTATGAAGAGTGGGGGGGTGTGTTGCCAGGGATGGGATTTAGTGATTATTCTTACTGCAGCTTTTTGTTGGATTATTATTGGCTTTAGGTGTGTTGCTGCAGTTGATCCCCAAGCACAAATAGCATAGGTGAGGTATGGATAAATGAGTGGTATAGTGTGAGAAGGGCATTTTGCGGCACGTAGTATCGTATCTTGGAGAGGATCCCAACCGTTTTGGATACTTTTTTGGTTATGTGTTGTATATGGGACTGTTTGTGCTCTTAGGTAGGAGCTGGTCTACTGGAGGAGTCTGCAAGGGTGTCCTACCGCACGGCTGCTTCAATGAACCTAGGGTCTTGAGCTCCTACCGCACCTCTCAAGCGTTTGGGGACAACGTCTTTGACTAGTCCACTGGAAGCCAGACTCGAGGACAGAGACGAAGATAAAGCTACCTGCGTTGCCTTGCGCACCCCTATACCTCCCAGTCGCACTGGGAGAGTTGCCTGATCCCATTGCTAATCTTCCAGTGACAGATTCAGTGCCTTCTTAAAGATTGATCTCAGGAGTGAGTCACATTCGTTGGGTTGTCAAAAGAGGGTGCGCACCTCAGGAAGTGAGTCTTGGCAAAGACACCTTTTGAGGAGATACAGGCATCATGGGCATCAAGATCCCTTATTCTCTCCTCCATTCTCTTCAGGTCATTCAGTTTGTCTTTGAGGACTGTGTCGAGGGCCTGTTGACCCAGCTGTGCTCCCGAGAGGGTGCTCTTGGATGGAGTGGTAGTAGAGACTTCAGGAAGGATTGTTCGCACAGCACTGATTATTTCTTGGTTCGTTGTGATGATTTCACACTTGGAGAAATTGAGGATGTGTCTTCACCAGTTGTAGGTCCTCAACCAGGGACTCTTCAGTACCTGCCAGAGTGCCATCATCCAAGTACCAGATGTTAAGCTCGCTGCGCAGACTGGAAGTTAGTTCTCTTACCACCAAGCAGAAGAGAAGTGGGGCGAGTGGATCACCCTGCTGAACACCCTCTGATGACGGAATTTCATGTTCGTCAATCAAAAGAATTGAGGGTTTGCTGTTGCCAGCTGAAATGAAGGGAAAAAGACTGGGGAACCGATCCCAAACGGCTGGTAAGACCACATCTCTTTTCACCATATCAAAAGCATTTCTCAAGTCAAGTTTGACTACTGCCTTGTCTGGTAAGTCCCTGATGTAGGCCCTTGCTGCATGAACTGCCGCTTCACTGCCTTGGTAGACCCCAAAGCCCAGTTGGTGTGGCTGGAGTAAACTGGCGGCTACACACACACATACACACACAACTAACACACACACACACACACAACACACACACACACACACACACACACACACACACACACACACACACACACACACACACACACACTAAAATAAATTGTTCTTGTTATAATAAGGTTAGGTAAGTTTTCTAAGATTCTTTTGGTGCAAAATTAAAATTTTTTACATTAACATTAATGAAAATAATATATCTTTAATCGTATAAGAGAAAATTTTAGAAAGGACTTAATTTTAAATGAGTTCTTGCTAATTGACCAGTTTTACATATTCGGCTATGGGCCTCCAGATTATTGTATGTTTTATACAGTAATTTTTAAATAAAGATTGAAATTGCATGCACCACACTCGATGTCTATGTATAACATAATACCTATAATTGTTAGGTAACATATATCATGTTGTTCTTCAATCTTAAATAGCCAGAATATTGATTATGAGATTTTTAAAAAAGACTGTGATAGGCAAAATAAGTTCAGATTCGTGATTAGCGCGTAAAAATCAGCTTAAAACAACCAATTTTGTTTTTAACCGGTTAAAATGTTACATTTCACTGGCTAGTGTTATTAATAGACTTACCGGTGTAATAGCGCACAAAATGCGTGATAAAGAAATAACATTAAAAGTTGGTAGATGGATCTATAACTTCCTAACAAATAGAACACAAATAGTAATAGTAAACAGAGTAAAGTCTGAGGCAGCTACTGTGAAAAGTTCTGTTCCACACGGCACAGTACTCGCTCCTATCGGGTTCCTCATCCTCATTTCTGACATAGAGATATAATCCATAGCTCCACGTCTTCTTTTGCGGATGACACCCGAATTGCCATGACTCCTCCATCGAAGACACCGCATGACTCCAAACAGACATCAACCAAATCTTTAAATGGGCCACAGAAAACACTGAAGTTCAGTGAAGAGAAATTTCATCTACTCAGAGATGGAAAGCTTGAGGAAATTAAAACTGCATCAGCGTTAGTTTAGTTAGTTAGTTTAATATGTTTATTATGCACCCCATACCCATCCTGTGGGCGTTAGTCAAAAGATTACAGAGGTACATAATTGGTCCAGGGACTGGAC